ATTCGTGGAGCGCTTCAGACCGGCGAGATCATCAGTGTCTTTTCAACAATAATTGTCAAATAGGAAGCAGAAGAAGGGAGAAACTGCTATGAAACTCAAATATTCAATCATGGATCTAGTTACCAATGCATTTCCGGATGTTACTGATGATGCATCACGGTCAGCACTACAGATTGCTCATTACAGGAGAGCACTGACACCTGAGGTGAGACAAAAATTATCATGGCTAGTGTCAGATGATGTAACCTTTGATGAACTGGTTAGGAAAGCAGAACAAGTAGTGAGGGAAACTGCTTGCATTAACATGATTCAATCAAATGGGAATAGTGTTAGTGAGGGACAAAATGCTATTTTGTTGGAATTAGCTAAGAAGATCTAATAACTAATTTTTATCAAGAACAATTATCAGCTTCAGTGGCAGCAGTTTCAAGAAATAATACAAGGTAGATAGATAGATGTTACAAGTGTAATCAGCTGGGACATTTTGCATGTAATTGCAATCAGCAGGAAGGGAGGAGAGGATTTAACGGCAAGTGTGACAGGTGTGGAAGAATGGGTCATATGGCAAGTGACTGTAGAGCTAGATTTCCAGTCTCAGGCAAAAGAGGTCAGGAAAACTAGATGTTGCTAGTGAGGATAGCCGAGACTCTCTGGCAACCAAGGTGGTATCGGCGACATGTGTAAATTCACAAAATGCGAGAAGAATTGAAGCTGAAGGTGAATTAGGGGGATACAAATTGAATTGGCTTTTTGACTGTGGTGCTGAAATTAGCGTTATAACAGAACCCCTACAATACCACAACAGAGTTAACTGCTGGATTGGTGGTTGCAACATTTTCACCCACTTCTGATGATTCACCTGTTATTGCATTGTTATTGTTATTGCTGTCTTCAAATCAACAGCGGCAGTGAGGCAAACAGGAGTATGAAGGGTAGAGGCATTTGCTGTGCCTGATATATAACGAAATTGTGTGCCGCTATAGACTGCCGGAGGAACTACACTCTCTGACCAAGGCTGGAACTTTGAAGCTAAACTGCTCCAAGAGTTGTGCAGCAAGCTCGGCATTAAAAGAACAAGAACCTCTCCATACAACCCACAGTGCAGTGGACAGGTTGAAAGAATGAAAAGAACTCTAGCTGAAAGACTTGCTCTTCTAATAGAAGCTCATGACCAAAAGGATTGGGATGAGAAATTACTGTCAGCATTGTCAGCTATTCACACATCAACAAATAAGGTTACAGAAGAGACCCCATTCATGATTGTGTTTGGCCAATCCCCTAGAGACAAAACAGACAGCGATGTAAGCGGAAATCAGAAACCAGTGACTATTTAAACTGAGTGAATTATTGGATTTGCAGAAGACTGTGAGAGAGAAGATTTTGAAAGATCAAGAGCAGAGGTGTGAAAAGAAACAACATACCATGTTTACTCCATTCAAAGAAGGCGAAAAAGTGTGGCTATATCATCCTGAGCAAGTGTGCGGAAACTCATCTCAGAAAGATTGGAAGGGCCTTTCCGCGTTGATAGCCAAATCGGTGAAAATACTTACCGTATTCACGCATGTGAAGGAAATGGCCTCTCACGTGCCATCAATCATCGAAAGCTGTAAAGACATGTTGAGAGACCGGACTGCTTGACTACAAGCAGTTGTGGTAGTGATAGTGCTAGGGACTGTGTTGTGAATGTGGACAATGAATGTCAATCTTCAGATTCACCGGACATTGACAACTCTACAGGCAGCATCAACATTCCAGGAGGTGCAAGTGACATTGTGTTGGGACTTGATGATGTGTTCCAAGCAAGTGTTGTGAAACATTCAACAGACAATTGCCAGAGACATTCCAATTGGAATCGCCAGCCCCCAAAGTGGCAGAGTGACTATCATGTTTACATTGACTGTATTTCTAGTGAAAATGCCCTTTTTGGCATGTTTGACAATATGTAAATGCAATTAATTATTAATAGTGTTGAATTTGTAATTTTCAAATTAACCTGTTTTATGCTTACCTGTAAATAATACTGTATTATTATCTGTTTAATCAATGTCTAATTTCTTAGTATGTATGATTGTATCTGAGAGGGAGGAATGATGTAAGGGAGGTAACTCTAAACCCGTAAGTATTTCTATAAATAGAACGCAAATGTTAACCTTGTTTGAAATGGTTGTATGAGTGTTGTGATGATGTCATCATAGTAATACCGTTGTGTTGTCAGTTATTGTTTTGATCTGAAAACAATGTTTGAGTTGACCGGCGACTTGAGTCTTCTTTCAATAGCTTGTGGAAATCAAATGGGCCCTACACTATCCATGAATTGTGTGCAAGCCCAACCTTGGCATGATCTTGAAAGTTTGTTTTTGAGTAGATGGCAGCAAGAGAGTGAGTATTGTTTTAAGATGCTTTCAGAAATATTCCAGCATTAACCATGTTAACACTGCGAGGAACACCAGTAATGGGTTTCACACATTCACCCATTTGGGGAATCAAACCCGGGTCTTTGGCATGACGAGCAATGCACAGGATATTTGCAATTTGTGTGATGGCTCATTGGTCAGGGCACACTGGTTTCCCTCTTGCTAAAACAAAACTGGCCTTACCTTTAGAATGCAGTACCACAAACTTTTCAAACACGTGACAATATGACGTAATTTGTAGTATTTTGTTGCCAGTCACACCGGCGAAACAAGGCCCTGTGACGTCAGGGGTCATCGAGTGTGCATAAGCTCCTCCCAGTGTTCTATCTTCTCTACACTAAATGTCATTGAATACGCCAAGCGGTGTGGAAAGGTGGAATATTTCTTTACAAAATATAACCTGCGGCGGCGCATTTTATAGCAAGCGCTAGTTTACGAAAGCACTTTTATTTTTTAAAAAAAAATTTATTTCGTTTTTCTCGTAATTCAAGTGGCCAAAATGGTTATAAATGGGAACTAATATACATATATTATTTTTTCGCTTCATTAATTTTCATTATTATGCACAAGAATGCAGTTTATGCAGGGATATTTTATTGGTGCTGAACACATCCAAATATCGCTACTGTTAGGGTAGGTTACCCCGAACTCTATACTTAGCCTTGGATTCCCTTTACGACCTATGACCCCCTTTCGATCATTAGGGTTAGGTCCCCGTTTGGTGGCTATTAGATTACCCGAACTCTGTCCTCAGGCCTTGGATCCCTTTTACGATCAATCTTTCCTTTACGATCATTAGGGTTAGGTAAATCTACCGGTTCAGTGGCTATCATAGATTATATAGTTATATAGTGGCTCCTAATATTCTTCACACAAAAATGTCGAGTGAAAAGGATGAAATGGTTTTGTGTTGAAAACTTTGGCTACTGGAAACTGTCCTTGAACATTCACACAAGCCACTTTCACCAGCTACATTTTTCAGTACTGATTCAAAAGCGAACTCACCGTTGTGTCGTCACTAGCCATGCACATGCCTCCCTCGTACCTTACTATTAACCACATCATCCTTACAGTGTTCCCTATCACACTTTACTGTCACAAAATCCACCCGACGAATTATTAAATACCATGTCTGACGTCTCAGTTCGCGCCATATAGGATCATCCTCGCCACTCGGTATCTTGTAGATTACTGAATGGGACGAGTGTGCCAAATGACATTGGGATCATCCGTAAGTGTCACGAAAGTCACAAGACACCATGCCTACCCCTAACCTTCGTAAGTGTCCGTCACGTATTCGACCCTTTTCGTTCAGTTCCGTAATGTCGTAGGCATGACTAGGTAAATTTGCACTTTGTTTCACAGTGTGGACATAGCTCAGTCGGTTAGCTGTCGGGCTAACAATCTGAAGGTCACGAGTTCGCGTTCGACGGATTCTCACAAAAACTGGCTGCTTGTCTTTGAGACATGTGACCTACGACAGAGACCGTCCTCACCAGAAGTTGTGGTACTGTATTCTAAAGGTGCTCCCAAAACTGTGGCTTGGTTTGGTGTTAAAGAAAAGTGACTACACTGCAATGTGGACATTGGTATTCATGGGTTATGGAGGAATGTTGTGCAAACACATAAACCCCTAAGTATTTGTATGAAAAAGAAGAAACCATTTACTTTGTATTTAGGTCATTACGTTAGACCCTGTCATTTCTGGGACACACCTTAATGCCAAATGACAATTTCACATACACATGACAAGTGTGAACACTGCACATAAACACTGGGGATGTCGTGATACGGGTGTCAAACACTATGATAAGAAACAATCAAGGTTACACTCTGTATTATGCCTTAAAAGGCGACTATGCTTGTCATAAGCGGCGACTAACAGGATCTGGTGGTCAGGCTTGCTGACTTGGTTGATGCATGTCATCAATCCCAATTGCGTGGATCGATGCTCATGATATTAATCACTGGACTGTCTGGTCCAGACTCGATTATTTACAGACTGCCATCATATAGCTGGAATATTGCTAAGTGTGGCGTTTAACAACAAACCAACCACTGTATTATGACAGGCAGTAAGGAAAGCAAGTCAGACATGTTATCGGGGTGTAAACTAGAAATTAAAACAATAGTTTGTACTTGTTTGTTGACATCGTTACGAGATCAACATGGAAAATCCATATGGGGCAAATGTGAATCAATGTATAAAGTGTATCGGGTATCCCATTGTACAAAGTTTGCCTACGATGCACCAGTCAATCGCGACATCACTAGTCAACACAGTTCATTTTATACACCTGAAGAAATATATATGTAAGCCTACGTGGCTAGAATTTCTTTCTTCATCAATAATTTGGGTTCTGAAAAATAGTTATCGTTCCTAAAACTTAAATATAAATACTGCCCAAATTATGACCGCACTGACCAATGAAGCGTCATAAAAGTTCACTTTGCTAAATAAGAGTAAACCTGAAGCTGTCTTCGTGGTTACAAAACACGACAAAATGGACTCGTCAGTAGTAAAGCCAAGCGTGACGTGTGCGTCTCCTATCCAGTGAAGTAAAATGCTCACGAAATTCCATTTACCATCATCGTATATTTCAAGAGGTCTCCCCAGAGTGACAAACGAATCTTCTTCGTCCGAATCCATGGGCGCATCCATTTTCAAATTGTTCAGCAGTTAAAACCCTTGGGTCAGACCATTGGTATAATTACTTGGGTAATAGAGTTAAGTAAAATATTAAATGTCAGTAAGAAACTCCTTGTTTATTATATAATTCGGATATAAGCCGAAAATTACTATGATCACGATAAGTTCTGATTGGGATTTCATCGAATTGTAAACAAAACAATGCGTGTTCTGCAGAAGCCAAAATACGGAAGGTGCTGAATGCGCATGCTCAGAGATAGACCTAGTGGCTTCACCCTTAGAAGGAACAAGGTGATACTTGTTTTGTGCTGTATATTGCTTTAATATATGCGCTGCAATGCAATCTTTTGTGGTATATAAACCTGGAAGATGATGAAGAAAATAAGTTTCAAAGGTATAAAGCTCTCGGGACAGAGACGCCCGCGTGGTGCATCGCCAAAAAACGAACTCGGTCGGGAGAAGCAAGGGGACTCGGATAGTCCCAATGCCGTGTTGCAGAATGACTCACAAGTGTTATCACAACAAAGCTATGCAGACGACCAGACAACGACCGAATCCGATGTGAATCACAGAAAGAGAGATAAGATTGGTCTTTTTTGGAATCTTAGGCGAAAGTTTACACCAAGTGTTCATCGAAAAACGGAGGGAACGGAAGGTAATCATATAGAAGAGTGCCAAAGTATGTCAGTGAAATGTGAGACAAAGAAATCCAAACAGAAAGGTAAACGTTTGTTTATGTTATGTGACAAGTCAGTGAGGTCAAATTCTACAGCGTCTCAAAGTTGTGACAGTCTGAACTCAAATGGGCAAACATACACGTCTCCTAAGATCAGTGAAATGCATTCCAACACGGACAGCCATGATCTGGATGTACGAAAAGAGAAGGCAAGTTGTAGAACGAAAGATATTTCAAAATTCCACCCAGATGGTCCCAACAAATCAGAAGACTATCATAGTGACGATTATGATGATGCAGATTTGCACTGCAGACGGAATATCCGTGGATCTCATGTATTGTGTCATGAGATACCAACTTATGAAGCATGTGAACCTTATGAATTGTCTCAAAAATATGGAATATCATGTCAAGATCTATTGGAACAACCGAAAGTGTGGAGTCTAACACAGGAACTATTTCGCTTATCAAAATTTGGCTGGTATTGGGGGCCTATCACACGAAATGAAGCAGAAGAAAAATTGGCAAACCAGCCAGATGGTGCTTTTCTTGTGAGAGATAGTTCTGATGAACGTTACTTGTTAAGTTTAAGCTTTCGATCATATGGCAGGACTCTTCATACAAGGATAGAGCACTGTAATGGCATGTTTAGTTTCTATGCACAGCCTGACACAGAAGGCTACCCCTCCATAGTGGATTTGATAGAACATTCTATGAATGATTCACAGACTGGTATCTTTTGCTATTCAAGATCACGTTCACCGGGGGCCCCTTCATTCCCTGTTAGACTGACTAAACCTGTGTCCAGATTTACACAAGTTCGGTCTTTACAGTATTTGTGTCGGTTTGTCATTAGACAGTATACACGATATGATCATATTCAACAGTTACCCCTGCCAACCAGCTTAAAAGGCTGGATAGAAGAAAACCAATATTGACTCATATGAGAAAATGCCAATGTTTGTATGGATCTGCACAAAACCACAACTACAGTCTCATTAGTTAACCATTTTCATATCTTTCAGTTGATATCTTGACTTAAGTTGAAGTATGCAACAACATTGAAAACCATTCTCATTTCCCCTCATGCTAATATACCTTAGTTTGTGAAAACTTCCTAGAATGGAGTGAGTTTCTTTTATCATCGTATCTTGGATCTGATACTTCAACAGCTTTGTTTGGCTTTTCCCTAGTGTTCCGTTTGAACAATACAGTCCTGATATGCAAGTGCAGATAGCACCGTGATATGTATGTATGCTCCAGTTTTTACAACATAAAATTTCTGTAAGTTTTGGTAAGATTTGTTATTGTTGTGTTTCTCTGACCATTGCTGATTGTTCAACTTTGTATGGAAAGCGTCTCTTGATTAGCATTTTGATTTAGAAAGGAACACCTTTAGCATTTCACTTGCATTTGAATCAGAATGGGCAATATCTCCATACATATTGAGTACAAAGTTTAAGCTCTGTCATTACACCATGACTACTAGTAAAGATAATCAAAACAGCTTATGTGTAAGTCACAACACATGTATAAACATAACATGAATTAAATATTTAATAATTTAACCAAAAATATTCGTTCACATGTTCAATCTCTTCATCATAACATGAGGAACAGCTAACCATCCATATATTGGTATGGTTCACTTTGTGGTTATGCAATCTAAATAGAATCATATCTTTTCCTCACAATATTGAATACCACTCTTGTGAAGATCTGACAACCCCTCCATAGAAAGTCGCATCAGGTGAACCTTGAGCAAACTTTGACCACCAGGTCGAAATGAAGGATACATGGCTTCTTGTGCCAGTCAGATGTCAGCTTCTTAAAAACAATTCAATTTAATTTCTTTGCCACCTTGATTATACAACAGAATTTAAACACATACTAACACAAACATTCCTTCAATAGTTCTTCCTTCTGTGTAGATGGCTCTCAGAAATGACAGTGTTTAACATGTCAACAACAATATGATGCCATGGCCTTAACATTTACATTCAGAACTGGTTGTTTAAATTTGTTTCCAAGATACAGAAATCAGATATGATGACCTAAATGCTTTGCTCACTTGTACCAAGAATATAGACACTGTCTGATTACACAAAGTTCACCTGACATGACCTTTATGTAGTAGGGTAGGGGAGTCAGATCTTCATGCAGAGATGTAACATGTCGGAGTGAAAGATATGATTTTAATGAGATTGGTTGTTATTGCACCGTATGTGGTACCGGTATATCTTGTTGGTATTTTGGAGCTTGTATTTGGGAGCTCTGTCAGCTCTCTGAAGACAGATTTGACTGTTTGGACCTATCCTCATGCCATCTACATACATACCCCAGTGAGGACATATGTGTCATGGATTTTGCATATTTTAGACTTTCTATGCAATGTTCTGTACAGATACTTGTACCTTTATGTTTTTCACTTTGAAGATCACATTGAAAGAGTGAGAGGGTGAGAATTCAACGTTTAGTCGGCATTATTTCAGTCTCATTAAAATCAGATCTTTGCTCTCGCTTCCACTAAACCAAGTTCTGAGGACATCATATTAAGCATGTTAAGGGTCACGTCAGAACAACCTTTCTTTTGACCAATCAGAGCGTCGCTTTCCAGATTGGGAAAGTTACAGTTGGGATGTGGTTTCGAATTGTGCAACCTCAAAAAGGTTAAGACAGGATATTACAAATGAGAGTTATGGGTCGTACGACTGATTCCACCAAAATACTCTATTTCTCGTTTCAATGGGGTAAACATATGAAACGAAAGAGACTTTCCATAGCCAGTGGAAAGTACGGCCGTACAATCTCAGCCATCTATTACAAATTCCAAAATTTTGGTTTAAGTTTTCAAATTTGGAATGAATATTTTTGGAAGCCAAGTATGGAATGGTTTGAAACAATGCCATAAGGCTTGAAAAAGCTGCTTCTGATTGGTTAATGTTGACTTCTGGTTTTGTCTTTTCATTCATCGGTCAAAGTTCGCAAAAGGTCGTTCTGACTTGACGTGTAATGGGATGTTCACAGATCTTTGTTTAGCGATAGCGAGAAGTAAAATCAGATTTGAATGAGATTGGCATTATTTCAACCATGTAGCAACCAAAGGAGTGAAATCAATTAAAATCCTGTCTTCACTGTAGTTTGTAGGTGCCATTGGTTGTATGGGGTTAGGTCCAATCTGTTCAGACAGGACCAGTATTAGAAATTAGAAATTTGAGTACGATTCTGCTGCAGTATATGAATAAGGGACCACCTAGATATACCCGGTAGATCTTTAATAATTTAGCTCACCTAACTGAAATGTCATCACTCACACTGATAAGGCTATACATGTGTGATAGTCAGTTTCTAAGTCATATATCTAGTGAAATTAGTACTACCATACTGTGAGATGGTCAAAAGTGGATGTATCATCGGCAACAACACCTTGTTTCTCTTGGTTGTGGAGACCAATATAAATACAACACAAACCAACCTCAAACCGTGTCTTTGTCGTGGAAAACACATGGCAAAAATGCTGCTGGTCCAACACAACGTTGAAATTTTCAGTGACTGTTATTAAAAAAATAAATCATGGGTTTCTTGTCATAACAAATGTTAAGTTTTAACAATTTCAGGGATCACTAGATTCAAATACCATAGAAGACTACAACAACAAGGACTACAAAACCCGACTTGGTTTTGAACACTGAGTGATCTATAAAAGGTAAACAGAAATTGTTTGGAAATTAGGTTTAATGTCCTAGTAACAGTTTTCTTAGTAATGTGTTCATAGGAATGAAGAATTCACCATGGTTACTGATTAGAATTGCATATCAATTTTTCTTTAAGGAAGTTAAGAGATGATAATGTGTATCAAGGTGAGGGACATTCAGGACAAGTTGGGAATTGCCACTGATGGGTCTGCTTCCATTCAGCACATGTGTAATGCCACCACTTTTCTTGTTTCTGAAAGTGTTTCTCAGATACAGCTGATAAGATTGCTTAATAATGATACTTAATGTGGATTTTAGTCACCATTATGATGGACTTTGTTTTGTGAAAGCCATCAAAAGATAAATTGATATTTTGAAACAATTGGAAACAGGTGTAATGAATTAAAACAAAATGTATGGCAATAGTGTTACACAATATTACTTGTGACATTGGGTTATGGATATACATAATAAGAAACATTTCTTTATCTTCAGCATGTTTCGTTTAGTTACTTGTTTGATATTGGTCATTTTGTTTTTAAAAAGTCTAGTATCTTTAGTTTAGATATTTGGATTTCAATAGTGACTGTTAAAAATTTAGACATGTTTGACTACCTGACCAAACACTGTGAAACCACCATGAGTATCTTTATTACCTCATTTTGTTTCAGCAGACCA